CTGTTAGTGCAGTTAAGCCTTGAGTTCACTGAGTAATAGAGAGCAGAAGAGAGCCCCGTGAACGCTCCTTCACTTCGTCGTGAACGGGTATATCTACCCATGTCTAGACAGCTGGTGTATTGCTTTCATTACTTAATATTTCACTGTTACCTGATAACTTCTATAACCCTTTTATGTATCATAATACGACCACAGAGCTTTCCAGAATATAGATCAGAACCTTTTTCATGCGAAAAGGATCCCACGGGTATGCTTCATTGAATGGACAATCATTTTGACTGTCAATAAGCTACTCTCAACTGCCAGAGAAATACCAGTTTATTGCTTCGTTTTCCAAAGAAGAAACAATGATATTGCGTGAGTTTTACCTACCAGATAGTAACCCATCGTCCTTCTCATTTATCGACATCGTTCATTTTTGTGCCAACGGTTACCAATAGTAACCATCATATTGGTGCATGCAAACACCCATTTTCAGGTTAAGCTGACTAGAAAGTACACATCTCCACGCAATTCTAATCACGTCCAGGCAGCCAATCGGTTAGCAACGCCATCTTGAATTCACACCGTTTGCATTGCCACTAGTGGCTAGCCACCAGGCTTGGCACTGTTTTATTCTACTGGCCAGTCGCTCGTGCTTTATGGCAGCTCAAGGCTACTGCGGAGTAAGCCTTTCAGAGCTGTCGCATCCATTACTATACCCAACTTACCTCCTTCGACTTGTATCTGCACTTCACCTCATGTTCGTATTTCCCTTACAATTTAGACTTTGCTGTATGTGACTGCCTTTTCCTTTAGCAATCAGACATTGCCCGGTCGAACGAGATCCAATGCGTAGCACGGCTTTATATTTTCTTTGACTCGGCTCTCCCGTTTTGGTCGTCTGTCTGCCTCTACGAGTAAAAGTGCTTCAGCGTCATCATTTCCATTAGCTACTTATCATACTTTTATTTGCTTGCAGCCTTTCTTCAACGATTCCTTGCACTTGCCTTTCCTCTTTGAACCCTACTGCATGACCTGGCCGCTCCCTGCTTTAGCTCGCAATCCGGCTGACCTTAACTTCACCTAAGCCGCCTATCTTAATTCCTGATGGCACTCAGCATGGTTAATTTAGCCATGTCGTATCATTTTATCTATCTTTCATCCATCCTTGTACCCTTGGCTAAACATGGTGAACATTCTTCGTTACAGACCTTTGCTGACCATGCTAGCTGCAGTACGCTTTTTACGTGGTAGTTGCAGTTTGAGCCACACCCGAGGCGTGCTGTAAGCACGCAGCTGCAAATTGTGTATCTAAAACAAACGTCACATTGGCTACAGCGGGACCGTCGAGTCCGCCAC